AAATGAAATTTGATATATAATGTTGTATTCTTTGAACTAATGCAATGGCATTATGTTTATTTAATCACTTCAGTTTTAGCTTTGACAATAGCGTCGATTAACGCTATCTATTCGTGTATACTTAAGCTAAAAAATGGTCTTGGAAAAAGTCCCTTTCACTGGACCAAATACGAATTACGTCCTAGAACCGCTTGTATCTTGAATATACGGGCGAAAACGACATTTTAATGAAATATGCCGTATGTATTGGGGACAATGAGGGTGGAACCCATGCTCCTTACAAAAAGAGCAAAAGTTTGCTCCGGTAAGAATCTCGCCAAAATTTGTTGAAAAGTTCCCTTAATACAACAATCGATCTTTTCGCAAATATCATCAACCGCCGATGCAGACGTTAAGTTCCATTTTATTGAGCTCCCACAGCAAAAGATACTTAACGCCAATCAAAAAGGAAAAGCGCGGTTTCGTGAAAGAGAGTCTGATCCCGGTTTTTAACATTGATGAGTAAAACCAATTTCTCCTCAAGCACTCTCGAATCGAACGAATTGCAAACCTTCTTGTAAACTGTTACAGAAAACAACAAAGGCAAACAACGTTTAATATAAAGAAGAAATTATAGCCCTTATAAGACCGGTTCCACCCATATCGAAATATCTACCTCAAATTGTTTGCCAATGTAAGTGCGGGTTCGTTGATATTTCTTTTGCATTACACTTTCATTTCGTCCCTTTCGCGAAAAAAGGGTTTGTTTTAATAAAAACTTTTCTCGTGTTCTCCTTTTCGATTATGGTAAAAAGTAAGATTAAAAAAAAACAACAACAGTGTTTGCTTGAAAATTCCAGCGAAGTCTTTATACTTACATGAATTTTTCTTTTTTTTGCAGAAAATTATGACAAAGATCAGTATTATTTTTTAAAAATAAAACCCGTCCTGCAAACTGCAAAAAAGTAAAAGATTTTCAGTATTCAATTGTTTTTCATTTTCTTTTATGGTGAATAAAAATAATTTGTTTGGATTGTCCTTTAATACTCGTAATGTTCCCTACTGATCAAATTCTTGTCAAAAGGGCATCGTTTATCGTTTTTTTTTTTTTTTTTTTGGTTTCAATTAAGGCCCTTTTTAAAATATGTTTTTTCTCTTTATTATCTTTTTCGTATTTTATTTATATTTGTATAATCATTTCATATTCTAATATACAATGCTTTTTACGTATAATGTATCGTTTTAAAACCCCTTACGTTTATATATATCAGAGTATAGTAAAACCTGTCACATTGTTGATGCATTGCAAATTTGAATTCAAAGCAAATTTAAGCATCTTTGTTCATCGATTAAGGACAAACAGTAAGCATAAACTTGCCGATGAACAAGTATATAAGAGAAGTTTATTTTTTTTGTAAAAATAACCATTTTTCTTTTTGGTGTAAAATTGTTTTATCAAGAATAACTACAAAACAATCAAAATATCTGAAGGAAGCGGATAATAAAGCGTTCTTTGTTCAAACTGAATGGCTTGCTTACTTGAAAAAAAGTTAAAATTGTTCGCTACATTTTTTACGCAACACCTTTTCGTATTATTTATTTATTACCTTATTTAATTCAAGAATTAATGAACGACCAAACTGGCCAGCCAATATCAACATTTTATTACAATAACAGTCACATATACAAAACATGAACCACACATCAAAATTTCAGTCTAACTTATATTTAATGAACTTCATATTATGGATCTAAAATTTAAAAAAATCCCATTTAAAATGTTTGTAAATTAAATTTTTTCCAGGGAATCAATAATATTATGTTTCAAAAATCAAAATGACCGGATCCAAAGGGGTTGGGCATCTCAAAAAGTTTTGTATTTTAACACAATTTTTTAATGTGAAAAAAATGGCAAATAATTTCCCTGCTATTTCAATGGCACTTTTTAACTTTAAAAAACAACCCAGGTTTTACAACAATTTAAACAAGATTTTATCGCACAGGAAAACACTAAACTCAAAAAAACCTTCCCTTTCTTTAAAAATCTAAAAAAATAAAACAAAATATTTAAGTGACAAGAGTGACCTTAACCCCAAATTTCAATTATAACCAAACCCTTATCACGGGCATAACACCCAAAATCCCCAGGCAAAACTAGCCCTTAACCCAATGAGCAAAAAACCCTAAATCACAGAATAATTTACCCTTTAAATCAACCAGAAATAACTAACCCAAATTTCAAGTAAACCCTAGCCTAAAAAACATCCCAATAAACCCAATAACAGAATAAAAACCCCCTAATCACGGGGGAAAAACAAAACCCCAATAAAGCGGGAATAAACGTAAGCCTTAATATAAAAAGCATAATAGCCAACACAGCCATAACACCCAACACAGATTAACAACCCTAATCAAAAAACCCAAAAATAAAACAGTTCAAAAAAACACCCAATCCCCAGCCTAAAACAGATAATTTTCACCCTAATAACGGGCAAAAATTTCCACTATAAATTCACACATAACGACCCAAATTTTCAAAAAGTTTAAAACTAGCCAAAATTAAACCCTTAATTTATAAAAATAAAATAACCAGTCTAATCAAAGCAAAATTCACCAAAACCAAAAGGATATTCACCCCCAAACCCACAAGAAAATCCACTATAAACACAGCAAAAATTTTTCACCTTTTTTGCACCCATAAACCCAATCCCCTAAAAAAGGGGCATAAACCTTTTTTTCCCTTATCACGGCATAATCAATTCTTAAATTCAAAAAACCCCTTAAAACCCTGTAAACAAGAATAACCAATCCTATTAACCACCCTAAAAAACCAACAAAACCCAACCCCCCTAAATTAAAAGAGTCATAAAAATAAAAAAGGAAAGGTAAAAAGAAATTAAAATTAAAGTTGTAAAAAAAATTTCTCAAAGGGGTATATTTCCTTTAAAAATTAAATTTTAAGGGCTTGTATAAAAAATTTATTTAGACCAAAAAAAAATGAACGTTAACCTTGGAGTTTGCTGAACAGAGTTTGCACAAAAATACGGGTGGGAAAAACCAGCCCAAAAAGTTCGTTTCGTCCATTTGCACCCGCAATCGGGAAAACCCCGAAGTCGCACTTAAAAAGGGTTTGCCCTATACTTTGTGACTGAACCTGAGGCAAACGAATAGCCAGCCGACGGGACAAACCTAGAAATACTAACTTTTGAAAGTTTGTCGCCATTTTACATCTGCTGACATCGTCCCATAATAGATCAACGTAAATTGAAGAAAAAGTTTTAATATCTACATATCCGGCTTAACAAGGCGTAAGACAATATCTAAATAATATACGAATTACTGAAAATGGTTTTTCTCGTGTAATAAACCCACACACCTTAACGTTAACGTACAATTTGCTCCCGGCTTGACGATCCTGTTCCGTTTTGACGACCCGGAACGCCGGACATGCAGTCACTGTGCAACGCTCAACTACCAAGCAATGCATCTCCAGTGCATACCCTTCCTCCATTTACTTGGAGCAGGGTTTTTGTCACAGTTTCTTTGTTCTGACCGAATTTTCCAGTTCCACGCATGTAACACTGGCACGGGGCAGCAACTGACCATGCACCCCAGTTTCCATCAACTGGTACTGTTTTTGCGAGAAAAATATCAAATGTTAACACCAAATTACCTTCGCTCCTACAAAAATCCAGACCGAACAATGTTCTTAATAAGTGAAAAGAAAGTGTATATATTTTAAAAAAAACGTTTTTTATCACTAGTTTGTTTTTCTTGTCGAGGTATGCGTTTTAAAAAGTTCAAATGGAAACGTGGTGTAAAAGAATGCCTTATTATCAATACATGGACATGCTTAAATGTATATGTCAAACTGTTTAAATTTCTAATTCGTTAATGTACCTGGACATGAAACCGGCCCCCTGAACCGAAACATTTTCATCAAAAGAGTCCCCGACACAAGGTTGGCCACCATAATCTGGTGGAGGGTCACATCGCAGGCTCGATACCGGCGCTGTCTTCCTGTGCCACAACGTAACTGAACAACCCTGCCATGCCTCCCACTTGTCCCCACTGTCCGTCCATAGGAGAGCCGATCACTGTAATATATAATGTTACTAATAAGATAACGATCGTCATGTAAATGTATTCCAATTTGTTTTTATCTTATGTTTGTGACAAATAAAGTTTAGAAACTGTAACATAACTTATTATGAAAGATAAACAGTATAGAACTATCAGTATACAACTTTATGCAAAATCAAGCAAAAAAAGTCGCCGAAAAACGTCCAAACTTCTCTTAAGAGTGTGTATGGAAGCTCGAGCTACGGCTGACAACACAAATAACAAAGCATTTAAATTTTAATTCCTGATATAAATTGTTTTCTACACGCATGTGTAAAATAAAAAGAAATATTAGATTATTTAGCCAGATTAAACTTACAGTAGTCACAGTTTCTGGCGGTATATTGGGGGAAACACGTGCATCTATATGCATTTTGTAGATTAGAAACACGTTCCATTGATGCACGGGCTACTGAGACATTCGTCAATATCTGCAAACAAATAATGAAAATATCGATTGCAAGTCAATAAATATTATTATGATGAAACAATTTTCCAAAAACAGACAACATACAGCTTCTATAATCTACAAAAAAGCTTCAAACAGGATAGAAGGTTGGATTAAAATATGAAAATACTAGGTTTCCACACATACATTTACTAATTATATTGTATATTTATGTAATTAGCGATATATTATTACGTATATTTTATAGAAGATATATAACACTAAGTACACATTATGCTCCCAAAACAAAGTTAGCTCGCATTGTAAGTACATTCAACTCCTTACCCCCTGATCACAGTCATACCCTTGCCAGCCTGGAGTACAATCGCACGTGTACTCATTTAGTAAATTGTTGCACGCGGCACCATTATGACATGGGTTGCTCGCACATTCGTCAATATCTACAGCAAGAAGAACCAGAACAAAATTTCATTTACTTGAAGCGTACAATATTGTATATACTAATGTGGTCTGGGTCGATTATGTTCAACAAAAAAATAATTGCAACTGTTAATTAAATTAATTATTCAATATATTATTTAGTTCCTTTTATTACCAAATAAAAGCAAAATTAAAATAACATTAACAGTTGATATAACCAACCATTGTATCAAAATTTGGGGGACAATTCTGTTGAAAATGTGTCAGAGTTAAATCGTATACATACATATACATGCACAGTGCGTTTACTGGAGTGCAGGACTATTAAATAACCGCACTCCGGAGCATGCCCATTGATTGAGGTTTACATATTGTAACGGAAAAAAAGGGAAAGCGATACGAAAATCATATTCAGATGCCCTTGATGTTTCAAATGTGACAACAGGGGAGCGTATGTTTATGTTTTACTATGATATAAAAGAGAAAGAACATCAAAACACGGGGTCTATGCCCCCCTCGTACAAATCAGATATTCTCGTGTTTCGTTGCTCTTTCTTTAACTTATAGCTATTAAATCACTTCATTTTAAACTTGGCAATGCTTTGTATCAACTAAGAAACAATGAAACACCGATATGCCAAGCATCAAATACAAATACTACTATAAGTAAGTGTTAAATGTACATGTATAAACTGAATCACACCAAGGATACCATGGAATACGAAGACAAACTGACTCAACAGGAATTAATAGCTTAATAATTTACCCGTGTCACAGTTAACACCTTGCCATCCAGGCACACATTCGCACTCGTAGTTGTTCTGGTTATTTAGACATGTAGCTCCATTCTGGCATGGATTGCTCGCGCATTCGTCTATGTCTAAAATTAGAAACTGACAATTTACATATTGATGCATAAAACACTATCCCTGGTTATTTAAGATACTACAAAATATGAAAAGTCTCTATAATATTTCAGATACAATGTGTTCGTATCACTTACTGACATCATTGGCTGGTCTGTGGAAACGACTTTGCAATTTCATATCATTATCTAGGGCTATTCATTATAACTGTTTTCTTCAATTAATATGTCAAATACAAAGTTCCTGGATCAAAATAGTGTAAAAATTAAGTCAAACAATTTACCAATGTCACAATTTGTCCCTTGCCAACCTCCGGTACATGTGCACGTGTAACTGTTCTGTAAGTTGTTACACGTGGCTCCATTCTGACACGGCTCGCTCAAACATTCATTGATATCTGAAATACATATAAAAAATGTAAAATTATGCCCCGAAAGATACCCAGTGCGAATGTTTCTCTCAAAATACTATCTACGTCAAATTGTAGGGCATATTCAACCACACACTTTGCTATTTAATAAAATAATAGATCCCTTATTTTAGAATCAAATATCGACTTATGTTTCGGTAAGAAAACGTGTTTCAAAACGTCGTATGACGTCAGGTATGACATCAAATAGATAATTATCTTAAGCGCCAGATAGGTTACCTCCCTGCTTCATTTTACTTAAAAATGTTTCGTTATATATCTTTATAATAAACATATAACATGTAGATTATTCTTCATATTGAGTTAATATCGTATCATATGCATGTAGTTCGCCTAGCTGGGCTAAAACAGGCCTGATCGAGTCGTATAAAAGGCTTATAGCACCATTTGAATCGTATAACGAACTTGTAGCACTGCTCGAGTCGTACAACAGGCGTATGACACGAATCGAGTAGTATAATAGAGGCAAATCGACTGAAGAAGCTTTATGATTAAAATCAAACATGTACTTTATATTACGTGTATGAGTGTATAGGTATCATTGTAAATATCTTTAAGAAAACTCAAAAAGTAAATATTACATTCTCCTTTGCTTATAAATGATGCATTTCAAATATTTTGTCAAAATTGGAATAAAAGTAGATTTCAAATAACAAAAAGAATTTACAAATAAGCATATATGATTATAAAAAAAATAATTTATATTTTTCAACATGATAAATACTGTTTTGAGTCATTTTATTTGATTAATCAAATGGAAATTCATATTAAACCTTGATCACAATTGTACCCTTGCCAACCACCAGCGCACGTGCACGAGTATTGATTCCGTCCATTGTGACAAGTGGCACCATTCTTGCACGGGTTACTCGCACATTCATTTACATCTGAAAAGAAACTCTTAAAATTATAAAAAAAGTTTTTGTGTTTATCAGTTTTGAATATATATATTAGTGTTATCAACGTTTATTTCGTATCAGGAAACAGGTACATGTATATGTTTATTATTGGTGAAAAGAAAACAAAAAGAAATGCGCATTCCTGCAAATTATTTATAAAGAATTCCTTCAAAAATGATTGCGATGTCAAATACTATTATTTTAAGTGTTTTGAAGTTATTTAAAATCAACCAAGAGCAAACAAATCACCTGTGTTGCAATCAGCACCCGTCCATCCTGCAGTACACGCGCACGTGAAACGGTTCTGGCCATTTGTACACGGTGCACCATTCTTGCACGGGCTGCTCGCACATTCATCAATATCTAAATCAAGTTATATTTTGTAAGTCGCATTTATCAAATGATAAATATTCCATTCATAAACTAGTCGTTGTAACTTAGATCAATCATTTACCAATTAATTTTCAGGAACTTACCACTTCTGGTGTCATATTAGGACATTTGGTGGTAATCAGAGTAGAGCTCGATACCTGGATTGCGAGGCTGTATACGTAACCACTCGACACGTTTTGAAAGTATTATACATCAAGATCATTCAAAAGAAAGTTCTTACTCAAAATTATTCAAGATTTAGCATGGGAATTTAGTGTCTCTACACGGAAAATAATGTAGTCGACTGTTTTTGGAGACTAACAATTATTTTACGTTTTCTTATACTGTACGTACGTACTCATTTATTCTATCAAAATCATAAAATATATCCTCTTGCTATATATACGATAAGTAACGGACTTCTCAACACCTCTGATACCGTCCTTAGAGAATAGCGGCTTTTTTAAATCATACATTCCCCAGGTAAAATACAAGAGCTGTCGGTACACTAAGGGGCCAATTGCTTTTTTTTCAAATCCATGCTACGGTTATAGGCCTTGGAGAGAGTCCTAATATGCTTTCAAAGAAGTGTATTAAATTTCAACAAGTTATAAGCCAGATGCCAATGGAATATGAAAATATTTCAGGTGGTAAATTTTTAGTCGAAAGATGGGTATAATTCTGTCAAAATGCTTGATAGAGTTACCTCCTCCTGTCTACAGGTTTGGGACATGATGGTGAGCAAAAGCGTGCAAAGTTTTCGAAGTCATATGTCAATGGACTTTGAAAATATTTAGGGTTGTACGCAAATTTTAAATTATAAGCCGAAAAAGAGGCATAATTATGTCAAAAACCTTGATAGAGTTACCTCCCTCTGTCTACAGGTTTCGGACATGATGCTGAACAAGATTGCAAAGTTTTAAAGTCATATGTCAATGTATTTTGTAAATATTTGAGGTAGTATATAACTTTAACAATGCTGACGCCGACACGGACGCTCTCGGTGACTAGGATAGCTCTACTTATTCTTATCGAAAAGTCGAGCTAAAAACGGATCATAAATCCTAAAGTTTTCAGTTATTGTACATAAATATTTTTAATTCAAAACCAAAAGCTATCATCTAAAGTGTTTATTAATTTGAATTTAAAGCTGTGTGTATATAATTTAATAAATGCGTTTTAGTTATTTTCAGTATTGCTTACGGCAAGTCTTAAATCGTTTACAAAAATGTTAGAAATAATAATGATTCGTTGAAAAGCCTTGAGACCCACCTCTTTCACAGTGTGTTCCTGTCCAACCACCGGCGCATTCGCACGTATACCTGTTCTGTTGATTGGCACACGTGGCTCCATTTTGGCACGGATTACTGGCGCATTCGTTTATATCTACGAAAGCAATGAATAGCGTCATTCAGTTGATTTTTAATAAGTAAATAGCGAATCTAATATTTATGAAGTAAGATGTTTGTTGTTCTTATGTGTATTAAATTTTCGGTATTTAAAATAGTTTTAGTCGCCTTTTGTTATTCAAATAATAACCTATACAGTAGTCCTTGAAAAAACTTATCTTAGAAAAGAATTCGTGGAGGGAGGACAATTAAGATCTGTGATTATCGAATATCACTTTTTGTCTTAAAATGTTCCTTTTTTTCTTTTTTTTTTTCATTGTCTGAACTTTAGACAAAGTTTGAATAATTTTAACTTTAATCATTACCTTGATCACAGTTAGTTCCCTGCCAGCCAGCAGCGCACGTGCATGTGTACCTATTCCTTCCGTTTGCGCACGAGGCGCCATTTTTACATGGGTTGCTCGCACACTCGTTAACATCTGAAATATAAATCGATACATGCTTCTTAATTGATTAGTTATGCAAGAAGTATAGACAAAATACGATAACATTTTCGATGACCTGGTTACTTATTATGTTCATATAAGATTACATTTTTAACCATTTCTAGAATTAAATACTAATAATTTATATTCTAGGAAATTTTTTTTATTTTTTATAACTACCACAAACTCTTCACGGAACCTATGTTATACATACCTTGGTCACAATTGGTCCCTTGCCATCCGCCAGTGCATGTGCACGTATAACGGTTCTGAAGATTATTGCACGTGGCACCATTCTTACATGGGCTACTTGAACATTCATTGATGTCTGAAACAGATATAGATAAATTAAAATGCCGTTATCACAGCTTTTTTATGAAATGTATCGCTCTACAATAGTTTTGAGTGGTTTACTGAAAAGTGATGACAAAACAGAAATACGAAACAGGGTATTGAAACAATATAGTAAAATAAAACATACCTGTTGGAAGGCCATCGATAAATTGAAAATATGGCAGGCTCGGATTGAATCAGCTCGTTCATTGACGGTAATGGTAAGTACAAATTACCGTCCACCCCCTAGCTCCTGCTTAATCAGAATTCAACATTTAAACACGAAAATGGTGACACTTTTAGTTTAGAAACATCCGCAGATGTCTTGGACTTCAGATATCTGAAATAAAACGTACCTCCACATGTTGGTTGACTTCCGCTCCACGCGCCATTGCTACATGTCCTTGACGCACTTCCGCTGGTGAACGTGTAACCTGCGTTACAACTGTACGTTACTCTACTTCCGTCAGTTGTTCCAGTATAACTTCGTGAACCATACGAAATGGACCCAGGTGTTGGACATGGTGGCACTATTGTTTTGAACAAAAACACAATTCATAAAACATTTTAAGTAGATAAATCTTTAAATAAATATTTATTTATTTATTAATTTATTTATTTTGTTTTATATTATTTCATGTACCAGTTGCATATTCAATAACAAAGGATGGCAAAACAACACCAGCCATGCGTCGCGACCATTTATCACATTGTTATTGATATGTCTTGTAAATATATATTTAAATATATAAAGTAACGAAATGACGTCATACCAGGGTTTGTAAATACGAAATACCCGTCGCTACCAAAGCCGAAGCTGAATCGTACACCATGCATACTTGGAAAATAGCTGCACCAATTCATGATTCTGCTTGAGCCAACTGAATTGCCCTTCCCGACCTGCAAGAAAATTTTAATTCATATTAGTTTCCAAATTTGAAATTAACAAAGGTGTAAAATACCCAATGTTAAAATTAGTCCTTATTTTGCTTACGTATAGCTGTAACCTCAATTTATAGCATTTTCAAACTAGCCAAGGATTTATAAATTCAAACAGATTATATAGCGTTTGTTCTAGACATACGCATGCGCAGTACAGCAAACAAAGTCACGTGACCATAAAAACAATAAAAAACCTGTATACATCCGCTACCCCAGGAGATCCAAAACCAGCGGTAAGTGCTTGAACTTAGGACTGAACCCTGGAAAACAGAAAGAAATGTCCAAAATATTTTATCCTAACCAATATATACCAGTAGCATTCCAATTATGTTAATATAATTCGATTGATTTGAATTTCAAATTTACATTCGCAAAAAGTCTTCGGTAGTAAAATGAAATAATAAAAAAATTACCGAATATCGCACTCTGTTAGTTCCTTGCTGACTATTTCTGATCACAGATTGGCTGTTACCCCACCCACCAATAACAATTTCAATAACATTGGTTCTGTAATTGTTACGGTCGTTCTGTAGCAACACGTGCGCGTCATTTCTACCTGCAAAAATAAATCCGTAGTGTTTTAATAACAGTTCTTTGCTTTGAATATACTTTAAGCTTTGTTCAGTTCAAAATAATGTAAAAGTATACAATATACTATATTGGTGAATGTTAATACTGAGTCGAAAGCTTTATAATAAAATAAATGCAAACACTAATATGGTTCGTGTTTACTAATGAGTATTTACTTAACGGCTCACCTATACTAAATATGTAACAGTTTACGGTTGTGCATTTTAAAATAAACTGTATTTCACGCACTTTGTTTTGGAAAGGAAAAAAATAAAGTAATTATTTTTATGCGTGCACAATAGTAAACTGACAGACATATACATACAATTATGAATTTGCGCAGATATTAGTCATTGCGGTTTACAAACTATCCAAAAGAAGAAAAAAAAGCCGTCACCGTGTTAGAATTTTCTTAATTGAATTATACGGACAATTTGTCATTTATTATAATACAATTTTATTTCCAAGGTCATGTTTCAGAATATGTAAAGGGTACACTCAAAAACGGCTTAATATGCTGGCTCACCTTTGACCTGGAATGTAAGGGATGTAACTGAGCTGATCCGGATTCCGTCGGCATACGGATCATGGCGACTGTAGTCGTAAGCATTTGGGCAGTAGTACGTCACACCTACGAAAGAAAAATGTAATTGTACGACACAGCACGATTTTGTTATAAAAATGCTGGTAATATTTTTTTTCTATTTTTCCATACTTCTTTCTTTCTTTCTTTATTTATTTATTAACATTTATTTATTTATTTATTCTATTTATTTATTTTTGGTTGGGTTTTAAGTCGCACCCGACACTATAGGTCCTACCACTTCTCTACCGCTTTACTGGTGCAAAACAAAAACACAACTCTGGTGACCTCATTGTATTTTGTTGTCACGACCGGGCACCTGAATGGAAACACGCCGATGTTCCGCAATAGAACGTACTATAGAAAACGTAACTTTATTTTCTTTTACAATTTGTTGACATTGTCGAAATTATATGAGAACAGAACAGATAAAAAAAAAGAATTAAGAAAATGTTTTTCAGAAATTTAAGAAATAATTCATGAATCTAAGTATGAAAATTGTGTACATGTCTTAAAGAAATCATTTATGAAAGTAAGTCTCTTTATAAGTATGTTTCAGCTAAGATGTCACTTTTATGAGTAACTATGTTGCATTTTAAAAGGAATAATCACTTATGAAATATAAGTATTTATCAATATATGTACCTGCACACGGTGTCAGGCATAATCCGAGAATCAGCAGGGTCAGCCGGAAACTCACACAAATCATTGCGCCGGAGTCAAACTGACACGCCTGCAATAAGAATCAACTTTCTTAATTAAGCTGTCCAAAATATTTCTCCGGTAAACACTGCTTTTTTCAAAACATATGAGCCGCGTCATGATAAAACCAATATAATGGGTTTGCGACCAGAATTGATCCAGACCAGCCTGCGCAGTCTGATCAGGATTCATGCTGTTCGCTATCAGTTTCTTTACTTATTATACGGGTCTGTAAGCGAACAGCATGGATCCTGATCAGACTGCGCGGATGCGCAGGCTGGTCTGGATCCATGCTGGTCGCAAACCCATGATGTTGGTTTTGTCGTGACGCGGCTCATATACCTTCAACACGTGAGTAAGATTAGATAATTTAATACAATGAATTTCTAATTTTGATTTTCTACCTTGTCGTCATAGAAAAGAAAATCATACATTTAAACAATTTCTACAATGAACATAACAAAACTTAACACTGATTTGATAGAAAAAAAGAGATCAGAAACGATTTTTGTTTATATTTTTAGCCAACGCATTTGAATTTTATTCAAAATTGCCAGTCATTCTCTTAAAATCCTGCATTCAATGCTTGATTATAAATATAAATATCATAATCCTTTTAATTTATATTAAACTGTATCATTTTAAGTCTAATCACGATTTTGATTTTCAACATTTCTTTTTTGTCAATTATATATAATAATAAATATATTACCAGCAGATATGCAACTTCGTGCCCTCCTTGGTCGGTAGCTGGAATAGAATTGAAACGGATTTGTTTTTTAACTAAACCAGTTTTAAGGACAATGTGTCAGTTATGTAAATGGATTAGCATAGTTACTTTCCAATAGTCTAGAAGCTATTTAAGGTACAACAACTTTTAAATCACACAAATAAAGGTACAACTAAAGATCAATTTCACAAAATTAAATATTAAGTCTTTATTTCATATAACCTCCATTATACAAATGTTTTATTAGATTTGACAGTTTAACTGTAAATGTCCTGGCTGTTTAAAGTCTTTTTTAAAGATAATTTGAATTATATTTTCATTTTGCTAAGTTAAACTTTTTTGTTCACCTTTTTAAAAAAAATTATAAAAACAAACGGTATTTTATATTTGCAGGTGAACTGTAATAATCTTGGACAGGCCGGTTGAAAAACAGTACAGCTTTCTAATTGATATTAACATCAATGATGAGGTCATATTAATCAACATGCATTCATGGTCCGGTAAAGTAGTTTAAATACTTGTAGTTATTTGATCGTTTGTTCCACTATGAAATTGTAACTGGATGTAGCTATATGAGACAAAACCGCATCTAGACATTGCAAATATTGGTATGAAGAAAGTACAATGGTTAGGCAAATGCAAAGGCAATATCTGTAAAACAATAAAGATGTGTCGATAGGAAGAGTCTAAAAATGCCGACAAGATATTTGAAACATTTATTTTGGACATAAAAAATGTCATTGTTTTAGCGGCAACTGTTTACCCGTGCGACCAGTGACGACCAAGATAAGCCTGAACATTCGTGACGACTGGTCATGGACCCCACACCTCGCTTATTAGTAATAACTCATTTTGAAATTTTCTCCAATAATGATGAATCGCCAATGATAAATGTTTCTGTTGTCCAGATATAAAAATGAACAAATCTAATATTAAAGATATTTAGCATTGAAAGGGTTATAACAGAGGTTGGAACTGAACTTGGCTCTGTTCCGACGTTTAAGTTATATGGCGTACATTCATTATTATTATTATTTTTTTTTTTTTTTTTTTTTTTTTTTTGAAAATACATAGTAATGTTTATGTTGCATTGTATGAACTAACCACACTCCATTGTAGACAAGTTAAGTTCCAATGAAAAAAACGATATTAGACTGAAACTTGTGTAGACTTTTACTGAAATAGGTAAACATTTTCAGTAAACTTATGATATAAGCAATAAAAACAATGAATTGCCAATTTGGCAATGTTTTTAATCTTTTGTAATCGTTCATTTTACGATATTAATCACAGACTGATTAAATCTGTAAAAATTAAAAGATCGATGTATAAACTTAGATAATCTTGCTGGCTTTTATGTAGATTAAACACATCTAGTTTAAAATTATGTCACTTATATAATCAGGTATCAGTTACATATCTGAAAATAAATAAGAAAATTGTACAATTTCGCATCGTATTAATTTATTAGTTATTTGTTATAACTAGCAAATGTTAAAAGAATGAAATATTTAGGGCAATGTTATTATGTTCAATAAATAAAAATAAAACAACATTGAAAAAAGTTATATTATTATAAACCTTCAACACTTAAAACATCTATATGTTATTGTTTAAAATTTCGTTACTTTGTATTGTATTGTATTGTATTGTATTGTATTGTATTCAATGTATTCAATGTATTGTAGAATATTGTCTTATCTGTCTCAGTGCTCAGTGTTTAACATCAGTTTAAATTCATGAATTCATGATGCATTGTATTGCATTGCGTTGCGCTGCATTGTATCGTATTGTATTGTATTGTTTTGTATTGTCGGTCTCAGCAGTGTTTATCAGCTACTACTTAACACCAGTTGAAATTCATGAATTCATGATTGTACTGTATTTTATTGTACTGTATTATAAGGTAGTATATTGTATTGTATTTATAGATGTGGTATAAAATAAATAGCACATCAAAGGGGCATAATAAACGGTATACTTTTTCTATTAAAAATATATATCAAGTTCATATTACAAACAAAGACCACTGTTTTTACACAAAAATGATACCGAAATATGTAAGTATTTGAAATTCAGGTCTATCATTTATCAAACAATACGGGCAATAAATATTATACCTTAAGTTTTGAAGAGAATTCGATCAAAATAACATCTGGCTTTTCCTTGAAAAACTAGTTTCTAAAAATGTTACACAAAGATTTCAAAGTGATATTTGTCCGGTTAATCTCCAACATTGGCACAAATATCAGTTAAGATTTTTATATAACGGTAATCTGTCATAAGGTCACATAATCTCTTGATCCACACTTATACCATTACCCAATTAGTCAAATTGACGTTACTATAAAATTTTTTATAAAAACAGAACAGTTTTTTATATCAATTATACGAGATGATTCAGCAGGCAATACACAAACGTTGAGTGATGTGCCTATTAATGATAATAAAGAATAGTTTGACATTAAGAAAGTATACATGTATACATTTATAATTACATGTATGGTAATGAATTGACAAGATATAATATGAATAAAACGTATTGAAAATTTACGACATTCTAAGCCGGAAGTGTTTTAGAATTATTTTTACAATAAAAGTAAAACCCAATATAATATTGTATTACACAATCTCTAAAATAGTTTTCACAACTTGGCAGTGATAATTGAGCCGTGTCATGACAAAACCAACATAATGGGTTTGCGACCAGCATGGATCCAGACCAGCCTGCGCATCCGCGCAGTCTGATCAGGATCCATGCTTATCGCTTACAAACCCTATTACAAGTAGAGAAACTGATAGCGGTCTGGATCCATGCTGGTCGCAAACACATTATGTTGGTTTTGTCGTGACACGGCTCATATATTTCAAGCGAGGGAAGAGGATGCAGAACGCTTTTCTCCCGATGATAATTGGTGTTACTTCAAAATTCTATCGTCAGCTGAGGTCTTTCGTCAATCAGTTAGTACCTTTTAAGTGCAAACTGCAGGTCTTATTTTTAAAGTCATGGTCTTTCAAAGTATTTACATATACACATAAGTCTAGGTGTGCTTGATCTTTGGCAATCCAGTTTCGCGGATAATTTAACATCATAAAAATAATATCTATACTGATTAAATTGTAAATATAGGGACGCTTGGCAACTGGAAACTCGCCATATGAGCAAAAAAAAAAAGTAAATTGTCACCGAGTTTTAAGAGCGCTCAAGCATTTAGTTAATAATTCTATACTTAAGTATATGCTGTAAGTAAGTCGTTATTGTTTATTGCAGGATATAAGGAACAACATTTGATTATAATACCAAAAAATGTATTAAAAACCCCAACTGATTTTAAGTAAGAATTAAATTATGATTGTTATACGAGGTATATGGGTTATAACGGGTTTTGTTTCATCAGCTGTTTAACTTAAACAATGAAATAAATAATAAATTATGTTTTTGAAATGTCGATTTTTTTCAGATCCTTAATAATGATAGTCATTGGTTTTCAAATTCGATTTGGGTTTTAATCGTCTTATGTATTCCTACGCAGTGATCTCCCCTCATCAGTATAGTCTGCCAAGGGAGGTAATCAAAATACGTCGCTAAAATGTTCTATCTGGTGCATTAGTATGGCGGCTGCCAAAAATCTAGCGTTTAAAACTTGACAAATCATACTTTTGTTCTACTAAACATAAGTAAAAATCTAATTGTTGATCCATGAGTTACATTAAGCGTTTTGATTATCTCGATTTGACAAAATGGAAGCTGGTTACATGCAACTTAGATAAATTGCAAACTGTAGTTAGAAATGTATAACAAACTTTATTTAGAAATGCATAACTTCAAATTTGAGACATGTGGAAATGTAAACGATAGAACGTACACAACACGTTTTATGCCGTGCATCTTGACGTTGAGAATGTAACTGCACCACACTTTCCTTTTACATTCTAACGCGATTAACATAATTATGCAACGATTTGCCACCTTCATATATGGCAATTTCACGCAAATAGACAAAGATTAAAAGGCGGAGCCAATTTTCACCAGAGCAGAAAACATAGAGGCATAGAGTCATAAGATGTGATTCATACGGTGGCACTGAGGTGACATTTATGTGTTTTTATTTATCTCGTTCGCACAAGATGCTATGTCGTGACAGCGAGATACTATACGTGTCGTGGCCACGACATAGTATTTCGTGCGCATGACTTAATTATCTGGATTACAATGTTCCTAGAGGACAAAGACAACATTGTTTTATAAAGAATCTTAATTTATCCAATTTTAATTAACAATATTCCTTGAGGACAAAGAC